TGTCTCTACCTGGCCAGAAAATGTACTGATTATCGCTTATAAAACAGCAGATCTTGATGTAAAGTATTCAAAACATCTCTACAAGATAAAAATGGGTCATATAACTATGGTATTTCATCACCATTCCCAGCTACCTTCCCCACCCCAAACTTTCCCTTCTCCAGTGTTGTTTTTATACTAGGGAGACCATTTCTACCATAGGATTTCACTTGCTGCATTGTGATATGGATTATAATTTGAACTAAAGTGTTCAGTGGTTGGCCATTCAATGGAGTGGCTACAGAGACAGTTGAGGTAGCAGCTGCTACCACCCCATCCCTATCACATCAAACTTTCATAAAGGCAGGAAGCTCTTTCTCCTCCTCCAAGAGAGGCCCATGAGCTATGCAAGCAGCAATGGGATTTCTCTTGTTTGCTGTTTTATCTCCAGCAATCAGAAAAATGCTCTAGTGGGCACTCACTAAATTTTTAAAAATTATGATAGAAGTTGTTATTTGTGAGATCATTTGCTGAGGCTTTGTAAACTACTTAACCACCTCTGTCTGACCAGCATTCTCGATAGCCTACTTGGACAGGACTGGTGGGGAAAGGGACAGTCTCACTGGCGGCCAGGAGTTTTCTCCATATGGTGAGAACTCAAGCTCAGCCAACTGCTTTCCCTGAGATGATGGGAGTTGCTGTTAGCAGCCTATAGTAAGCCATAGACATGACAGTAATTTTTAAACAGGAGGAAATTGTGGGTCTACAGAAAACAGAAGCTGACTACGGGATGCCCACCTTTTTGTTGGTTTGGTCCAGGAACTCTCACTACAAAGGCTTCGTTGTGTCTGTAGAGATCGGAACAGGGAGATGGTCATTTGGCTTTCTTCTAGGAACTTTGTGTTTTATCATCTTGTTTTTGGCATTAGGAGTTTTTCCACATGGACTTTCAAGATGAACTATATTTCAGACATGTTCTCAGAAAATAACACCAGTTTTGACCTCAGGACAATTAAGCCAATGCAGAGAACAGGTAAGGCAAGGAGGAGCTTTCTCTGGTGCCAGCACAGCAGTGGGAAGTATACGCCTCCTTTTCCAGTATCAACTACTAGTCACACCCGGAGTGGATCGAGTTACATCAGTATACCTTGTTTACAAACAGTAAGTTACTAGGAGGGACTTCATCCAAGCCCCTTCTGAAATCTTCAAAGTCGGTGATACAGATCTTGGGTATAGTAACTCTGAAAACCAGCCTTGCCAAGATTTATGGGCTAATTTGAGAAATGCAAATTAAAATGACACTGAGATTCCATCTCACTTCAGAAAGTGATTTGTCTATCTTTAAGAAATCAAATAATAACAAATGCTGGAAAGGCTGTGGAAAAAAGAGGAATCCTTCTTTATCATTGGTGGGAGTGTAAACTGGTACAACCACTGTGGAAATCAGTTTGGAGATTCCTTAAAAAAAAAAAAAAAAAAAAAAAAACCTAAAAATAGAAATTCCTTTTATCTTAACTATTACCTTCTAGGTATCTTCCTGAAAGAGTGGTGGCACATGCCTATAATCCCAGCACTCAGGAGGCTGAGGCAATAATCAATAAGTTGAGGGCTGGGGATTTAGCTCAGTGGTTCTGCTACCTGCCTCACAAGCGCCAGGACCCAAGTTTGATCCCCAGTACAAAAAAAAAAATCAGTAAGTTAAGTCATTCAGTGTTTCTGCTTCCCCTGGATATTCTATTTTGGAAATTGCGCTAAAGAGAGGTGGCACCATCGTCACTGGACACAAGCTACCAAATAACCATTGCATCAATGTAGCAAACAGTTCTGAGGGAAGAAAAAGATGCATCTCTAATCTTTATAAACTCAAACCTTCATGAATTTTCCAAGTCATAGATTTTTTTTTTTTTTTTGGTATTGGTATGGCTTTTAGATGTTGCCTAAGAAATGTCCTTTTCTTTTAGAAACGTGTCTTCAATAAGGAAATGGAACTATGAGACCATCTTTCACCTTTTACTTCTTTCATCATCTTGTTTATCAAAAGTAACACAGAATTCAAAACTCTGGAAAGGCCTCCCTTCATTAAGTCTAACTGCTATTTCTTGTTGCAGGGAATAGGAAAAACCCCTACAACTTCTTCATATTTAAATGGATAGTAGCTTTCTAAATGACACAATCCCATATTGTTTTTGTTTTGTTTTGTTTTTATTGAGTTTATTGGTACATTCTAGGTATACAATACAGTTACATTCCTTACTAGGATCTTGTACCTTCACATGACAGGTCTTGGTTCTCATTTTTTTCCCCTTGTCCCTGCCCTCCCTTCACCCCTCCTCCCCTCCCCATTTACAAACACTTTATTTCCATTTTTTCATTTTCTCATATTTTTTTCCTTTCCCTTATTCCCTTTCCCCTACCCTTCCCACTTTTCCTACACCTTTAGCCCTTTTCTTTGTATTTCACATTTTTAATTATCCCATTAGGGACAACCCCATATTCTTACAAAGTACAGGAAACTTGCTTTTAGGACTTTTAACAGTGGGTATGAAGAAATAAAAGCTGAAGTGTTTCTTTTCATCAACCCCTTGTAATCACAGAAGTCTTCTCTTGAGCCTGAATATTCGTGTTCCCCTCACCTTCATGTGTTGGAATCCTCACTTCCAATGGGATGGCACTAGCGCCTGGCATCTCCGGGTGGTGATTAGGTAATAAGGCAACGTCCTAATGACTGAGGTTACTGGTGAAAGAGATAACTTATGAGACAGCCCTTGTGCAGGGAGAAAGGGGACCTAGGATGGGAGGAGGAGGGAAGTGAGGGGTGCGGGAAGAAAAAAGGATTAAAATGTGATATATATATGTGTACAAACTCCCCACGATGAATCACTCGTTATGTGTAGCAAGCATGTACGGGGTGGGGGGGAACCTGGTAAAAGATGACCCAGAGAGCTCCCTGCCCCTTGCCCTATGCACTATGGGTAGACACAGTGAGAAGCCATCTATGAACCACAACGTGCACCATCACCAGAACCCACATCTGCCAGCACCTTGATCTTGGACTTCCCAGCCTTCAGAGCTGTGAGAAACAGCTTTCAAGTGCTAGTAAGTCACCCACTGTATGGTAATTCATTACCACAGCTTCCGTGTATAAAAAGAGCTTCCAACCTGAAAGTCAAGCAAGCGACGGTAATTACTTCTGTTAATTCTTGGATGATTGTCACAAGGGAGGATGATGTAATTAAATTAAGTTCCTGACATCTATAACTGGAGAATCATAAAATGCAAGTGGGATATGGGGAGCTTCTACTTTGACCTTCTCTAATGTAACAACTGCAAAACCTGACACGCAGAGAGAAGAAATAATTTCTCCAAGGTGTCCTAGTTAGATCATTGAAAGGAGGGTGAGAACCCAGGTCTCCTAACTTCCCCTAATTGATAGATCTTCCCGTGCCCTCTACCACTTTCCATCTATCGTTCTGTTAGTAAAGCATTCAATTGCCTGTGAAGAGGACAAACAGTTAACTGGAAAGAGCCTTCTATTTTTGAGATGATGGCTTCTAGCTTTCTTGGGTCATTTTCCCCAAGCCACTGCAGTGAAAAAATGGCCATTTGTCCAGAACCACATCCACACCCGGAGACACAGACACACCCTCTGCTGGTACCGTCCTTCCTTTCAAAGACTGGGCCTCAGCAGAAGTGGTGGTGTCTCTCTCTCCTTCTTCCTCAAGGCAGCTTCTCACATACGGATTCACACTTTATTACACTGTTTCTCCAGTGATCTTCGAAGTGAAATGGTCTTTTTGTATGTCGGCAAGATGAAACCCATCTTAGAACCTACTTTTACTTTCTTTGAGTGAAAGAATGTTGGAGGAACTAAAACCAGGCTAAGAAGCTAAATGAAGTGGGTGAGAGGAAGGGAAATTAAAGAATTAGATGTAAAAGATGGAAATAAAATGTTTGTAGATGGGGAGCGGAGGAGGGAGTGAAGGGAGGGCAGGGGTAAGGGGAAGAAATGAGAATCAAGACTTGTCATGTGGAGGTACAAGATCCCACCAATGAATGTAACTTACTGTATCCCTGAAATGTACCAATAAACTCAAAGCTGAAAAAAAAAAAAAAGAATTAGATGTGTTCTGCGCCAGTGGCGATTCTCCATCAGGAATGTGATCATTACGTTCTGCAAACGTGTACTCGTAAAAGTTCTTGAATTTTGTTTAAAAATTAAAGGAATGAGAAGAAGATTTCTCTATAGGAATCCAATGAGGTGGGAATGTTTAACCCAGAAAGAGACAGGGAAGTGGAGATGTAGGTGCCCTAAAAAGACGCATTAAGAGATTTTGGAAGGAGGGATTGCCTTAGGAAAAATCAACTGCTACTCTTTGAGATAACTTCAGATTTGAGGCTCTGTGATGCTATATTATCTCCAAAAGTAATTTAAAAATGGATATATATGATAAGGTCTATAAATGCAATCAACTTCATAAGAAACTGTTTAATCTCTTTTTCAAAGTTAGTTGCCTTAGTTTTTCTGCCATTTCCAGCACTTGATATTGTCAGCTTAAAAATAACCATCCTAGTAACTATGCCACTTTTTATATCCTACTTAAGAATTCTTTGCAAAGTCCAGGTTCATAAAGTTTTCTTCTCTTAGTCTTACAGCCTAATTGTTGCACTAAGGTATAACCTCTGATTTTTCCAATCTGAAATTAAAATGTAAGGCAAAAAATCAGGGAATGGTGTTGGAATCCTTCAGCAGAAAAAATGGAAAGCTTTGCACAATAGCTGTTAGGGTGAGTTTTTTTTTTTTTTTTACAATTTATAAATAAAGCCAATAATCATTTCAATATTTCTTGGGATTCTGTGTGCATAATATACAATCAGGAATTATGGGCAGGCAATGAGGTCAAGTAGTGATAGGCTTACTTCTTTCTGAAGCATTCCATTTATTAAAAAGGCAAGGCATGAAAATTTAATTAATATAGAATTGTTAAACAGCAGCTTTTTGTTTGTTTGTTTGTTTGTTTGAGAGAGGGTCTCACTAGGTAGTTGAATTTGTGTGTCATCCTTGCACAGGGGCCATGCTATTCTTCTCTGTATCGTTCCAATTTTAGCATATGTGCTGCCAAAGTGGGCACCTCACTAGGCAGTTGAGACTGACCTGGAACTCACTATGTAGCCCAGGCTGGTCTCGAACTCACAGAGATCCTCCTGCCTCAGCTTCCCGAGTGCTGGGATTACAGGCGTGCACCCCCACACCCAGCAAGCAGTATGTATTTAAATGAGAAGCGTACGGCATAGACCAGTGATTCTCACCAGAGTATGGGGAAAGCACCAAGGAGCCAGTCCCCTGGATGGAGACAGACCAGAATCACTGGGGAGACTCTCTGAGACTATTCTTGTCCCCGTGCCTTGGTGCTGAGATCCTGGTAAAAATACTTCCTTTATTAGCTGAGAATCAATGTATAGTGAATTACTGCTACCAGAGGGCATGGTTAACTTTCAGCTAAGTTGCTGTTAGAAAAGGCTGTGTATCAATGTTGTAAGAAGCACTCTAGTGTTGTCTACTGAGAATTCATAGGTGGATTGAAACTGAGTCTTGGAGAAAGCATTAGACGTGGGCAGACAGAGAAGGTGAAATCATTCCAGGTGGGATAATTTGTAGTGAGGCCGGAAAACAAAACAAAACAAAACATTACCACATTCAGTTATCCCAAGAGTACAAGCCGAGGAAGAGAGATAAATCTGGAAGATTATATTAGGGTTAAAAGATATTAGTTTAAATTATGAAGTTATATTAGGTTAAATTGTAGACTGTAAACTCTATAACAGTAGAGTAGGACTTTGCCTATCTTTTGTTTGCTCAACACTGGAACACTGTCTCAAGCATTATAGACCTTTACGGATATTGAGAAGTCTTGACTGTTAAAGCAAAATCAAAAAAATTAATCGCTTCTCGGCCTTTTGGCTAAGATCAAGTGTAAAATCAAAAAAATTAAAAATTATCTTCCAGCATCTGCCCAGGACAGGATAAATGATGAGGGGGTGAAGGTGTGGGCCTAGGGTTCCAGTAAGAGATTGAGAGGAAGCAATAGATAGAAAGTCAAGGACCAACCTCCTCCTGAGAATGTTCAGAAAGAAAGTTAGATGAAAGAAAGCCTATCGAAGATATTTTAAAATGCAGCGTCAGATAATAAATATGACAAACATATCACCTTATAATTTAAAAAACTCTTCCATACAACATTAGGTAAAACAGGTGTAATTTCTGACATTTTACATAGACTTCAGAGGGATGATGATGATGATGATGATGATGATGATATAAAGGTAAGACAAGAACTAAGCCAGTCAGAAACCAAGAGTTGAGGCACGATAAAAGTGATGGCTCTGCGGTACAGTGTGTGCCTAGAGTATGTGGGGCCCGAGTTCAGTATCTGATACTAAAGAAAAGATTAAGCACCCAGTAGTATTTTGAACAGAAGTACCAACCTAGAAGAGGGGAGTAACCCAAAAAGATGTAGAGAGAACTCCAAAGGGTATCAGAGGTGATAGTTGGAAGGGAAAAGGAAGGAAAAAGTTGGCAGAGGGCCCATTCCCCAAAGGTGGGGTTAATACTTCATTAGAAAAAGTGTGGCTGCAGCCCAGTGTGGCAGGGAAGTTTCCTGGGTTGCCTGGGCCACCACTGGTCCACAGTCACCAGGAAGCAGGGAACAGCCATGTGGGGCACAGATGAGCAAGGCAGGTGGGCACGTGTCCTGAGTGAGTTAGAGCCCTCAGCCAACGTGAGGGCTGGAAGGCGCCGGCATGGAGGTCAGCCTCATGGCCAAGTGGTCAGTTGGACCTGGACTGGGCCACAAGGGCACCGGGGAGTGTGTGTCTGGGGCAGAGTGACACCAGGTGTCCCCTGCACACAGTTCAGGCATGCTGAAAACCAGGAGACTTCTTTCTCCCTCGGGGTCTCCCATCGTCCCCGCCTGGCCAATCTCAGCATTGTGTTCATCCACAAAAAGACACGCTGCTTTGGAAGAACTATTGGCTTGTGCCCTAGGAAGGGTTTTTTGTTTTGTTTTGTTTTTAATAAAGGTAGTACTTTAGGGTGCCAACATCTTAGACTCCCTCTGAGTACAATTTGAATGATTTTCAATTTTTAAAATGCTAAGGGATCAAGATGTCCCTCAAATTCTTGTGAAAAAAATTTCTTCCCAGCAACTGTGAGCACACTTAGAACAGAATCACCGGCCTTTAAGTCGAAGCTGTTGGGAGACAGCATCGCTCATAAATCACTCCACTTCCGGGCAGTCTGCCTCCTCCATCTTGGAAACAACCTGGTTACCCAGCAGTGGGTTGTTCTCTCGTACATCTTCGGGAAGCTCAACGATGACCCAGTTCCCAACTCACTGCATGCACAAGCCTGCCAAGGATGCTGTCCGCCATAGTTTGACTCTCCCTTTTCTTTTACACATATGTGGTACATGATTAAATAAATTATAATTTAAAGATCCATTACAGGTAGCTGGAATCTTTATTATTATTTTTTTTTTCTTTTCTTTTTTGGCACTGGGAATCGAATTTGGGTCCATGCGCTTGCAAAGCGGGCGCTGGAACCACTGAGCTAAATCCCCCGCCCTTGGAATCTTTCTTGATTATCATGAAGGGATTAACATTTTCACTTGCAGGACCTTAGCCAGTCTGACCAGAGCTCCTTCCGTCAACTGCAACGCCGTCCCCTACAATTAGCAGTTGGGGAGATACATTAGCACAGTACCCCACAACCCCACAGGAGGGCTGCGCCCCTACAGCTTCTGTGCTTTAAATCTGGCTCACAGAGCCAGTCTTTCCTGAGCTTTGAGGGCTGCCGCAGCAAGGTCAGCAGAACGATCCGGGGTTGGGTTTTCTGTTAAGATGCTTAGGAGCATTGTCTCTCTGCAGGGCACAGGATGACGGGCAGATGAACCTTTGCGGGGTGTAACCGGGTTTTCAGATCGGGGTTTATTTTCAGCATTAATAACTCAAGCATTGTGCTCTAGGGCACATTTTCCCTCCTTATGAAATTTGCGGAGGAAAAAATGTAGTTTAATAATTAAATCAGACTGGGGAAAAAGTTAAATGCTATAAGCTAGTCCATTATTACATCAGGGATACAGGAGCTAAGAGGCAATGAACGGAACACCGGTACAAATGGTTATCGGACATTTTTAAGAGTGCCCGTATATGGCTGGATTTTCCCAGAGCGTGTGAAGCTGCACTTGGGGCACTGGGAGGGATCTGAGGCCGAATGGACAGCGGAAGTCCTGCTGCGCATTGAGAGCAGCAGTGATGACCCCGGTTATCACAGTACATCTTAGCTACCCTAGAGGAAACTGAAAGACATGTGCCAGCATCTCTTCAAGTCCAGAAAAGGAGTGGTCCTCCCTGCCTGGTCTCCTAACTGAGCATGCAACTGGGCAGGCCTGAGTCACCGCTCACTTCCCCGGGCCAGAGAGGCGGATGGCTGTGGGGGGCAGCTTGGTCAGATGACCACGAGGGAGGAGAGGGAAATGCTCGCAAAGGGAGGGTCCCCGCTGAAAATGGGAGTCAGACTGACACTGAGGGGAGTTTTGGATGTTCTGTGTTCTATTGTACATGTGAAATGTACTATTACATAATTAATTGTTGAGGAATGCATATTAACTCTAACTGTAGACGGGTGTAGGAACTGCGTCACCAAAGGAAGGGATGAAAGGCAGATTCCCAGGCTGACATGCAGCAGTAGCCTCTCTCTTGCTCATTTTATGGTCACCACCAAGCAGTGATAATTTGAGGTAGTGACAGCTTGCAACTCTTCATTAGCGGATGCAAATGACATATGAAAACAAAAGGGTTCTAAACTTTAAATATTGCTTTGAAGGCAAATAAAAGCTTTTTCCCCCTCCCAGGAAATATGATTAAGTGCAGATGTTGCCATTTTTGTTTTTAAGCAGTTTGAGGTGCGATAAATGATAAAGTGATCCCCAATTACCCTAAGCTGAGCTACCTTACATGAGTAAGTGCCTGGTGGGGGACAGCTGTCACTGGCACCCCTTTGTCCCTGGATTGGATCTGTAGTTTCAGTAATACCAAGCTTGTGCCGATGCTGAGTTGGGTCCCCATGAATACTCTGGGACAACTCTGTTCTTCATGGCACACCAGACAAGTCCTGTCACTGGGAAATTACTCTGTTATCTACTTTTTCCATATGCCTTCCAGGGGGCCATAAGTCAGCTTCTGATAAGCACCTAAGTATCTCATCTCTGATCTATCTGTTCAGCATTATGTTCTTATGGAGAGTAAAATAAAGAGGGCTCAAATTTTCCAAGTTGTTCCCTGTGATAATTCATATAAAGACACCTCAGAGCACTAACAGAAAAAAGTGTTTTAAACATTCAGATACTCAAATACTAGAAGGAATCAGTCTAAGAAAAAAAAAAGCCCAATATTTTAATTTACTAGATTGTAGCATTTTAAGAGCAAGCTTATCAGTCGTATTAAGTACTGTATTTACTAGATTTGGGTGTTATATTTTTAGTAAAATGCTTAGCTAAGTATTTTAATGATCCTAATGGTTATTTTGTGATTTCTATTTAAAGTTTGTATCTTCTAGAACCCGGGATTTAGCTCAGTGGTTCTGCTGCCTGCCTGACAAACACAAGGACCCAAGTTTGATCCCTGGTACTAACCCCCACCCCGCAAAAAAAATCCTAAGGTTTTTTTTATAAGGACTTTATAAACCCAAGGTGAAGAAAATGTCTGGTGTTTAGGGTTAAAAACTTGGTTAATGAGGACATTTGACATTTATACCACAGGAGAGATCTCTAGCTGTTAGGATCAATGCTCTGCCACAGGGAGAGAGCAAGCAAATGCCAAACCTCTTCCCAAAAGCAATTTCAGAGGTTCTCTTTCATGTACATGTGAACAGGTTACACTGGCTCCTGGTGTCCAACTGCCGAGATGTCTGGACATCAGTCTATCAGGACGGTGCAAGGACTGCCCTCGGAAGACAAGGTGGACCTGACCCCATCACGGTGCTCACCTCCGGGATTTCTGTTTTCAGCCAACACAGGCAGCCGTCACCATCTGTACCCTTCCCAAGCTGGCTGCAATGAGGCAGGTGAACCTG